CCTACACGAGATGAGGCAGGATAAAGAGGGATAATCCCCCTCGATCCCAAATCATTGAGGCCAATTTCTAGCCATGGAATAATGGCGAGCTGCACCTGCTTTCATACACTCTAACTTCTCACACACATTTCGCTCTTTATGTTTAGCCGACATCCGCTATGAGTCCATGTTCTTACCAAGTATTTCTTAAAAATATACCTAATAAATCATCACAATATATATATTAGTGTCACAGATAACTTGCTAACATGCAGAATTATAACCTTGGGGGGCTCGAGACTGTTTATTTAGCTCGATGATAAATATTGCAGACCGCTTACGTTACCATGTTGCCTTTTTTTAACTAACGGGTTTCTTATATTTTCTACCTTATAACAAAAATATTGATACCAAGAGGCCGTCACCGCTGCCGCCGCCGCCCCCCGCAGCCCGCTGCCGGCTTCCAGCATCGTAGGCCGTATCCGGCCGCCTGCTCCCCCCTATGACGCAGGCATCCCGCTGCCTCCCCGTACGCCGGCATCGCGCTGCTACCCCCACACGCCGGTACCCCGCTGCCGCCCCACGCGCTTGCACCCCGCTGCCCCCCCTCACGCCTGCACCCCGCTGCCCCCCACCGCTGCTCATGCATGCACCTGGTGCCGCCTCTGACGTCACGCTCCTCGATGCCGATCTCCTGGTGGTCATTGCCGATGACGGACCCCGGCTTCTCCTTCTGCATTCCGCACCTGCACCCCGCTGCCCCCCGCCACTGCTTATGCACGCACCTGGTGCCGCCTCTGACGTCACGCTCCTCGATGCAGACCTCCTGGTCATTGCCGATGACGGACACCGGCTTCTTCTTCTGCAATCCAGATCCCTCACCCCCGCACCTCACTGACACTTCTTCAGCGTGACCTTGGAGCTGCTGCTGGAGACCGGATGCCAGCTCCGGATGGCGGCAGCCTTGTGGTAGCCTGGAGTGACCTTGAAGTGAGTTAGTTGGTAGCCCCACTGCTATACTACTTTTCACCTTTCAAATTCAGCAGTCTCCGGCATATCCGTAGGTACAAGACTACATCTATGAATATACTGGGTGTTCTGATATCCTGAAGCTCGCTCGAAGGGTGGAATACGACACTTACCTCGCCTTCTCTTTGGGTTGAGTTCCACAGACACGCCTAAGTGTATATGACTCTACCTGGGATAAGTATTGAAAAAACCTAAAGGGCGCTCGAAAGCCGAAATACGACAATAGCCATTATATTTTTCTGAATTTGTTGTAATAAGGGAAGTAATAAAGAAACCTGCTGAAGTGAAAAACTCATGACATGGCTCATGTATAATTTTATATTCATATTTTAAAATAACATTAAAACTTAAAATATCGGCATATGACATTATTGATTTGATTCATTATGATCTTTTTGTATTTAATCTATGGTAAGATCACCAGCACCCAAAGATGATTATATTATAAATATCCTTGACTAGCACCCAACATCACAGACCATAGAGCAACAGAATAACCTACGAAACAGCTATTTCCGGGATAAAATGATATCCATACTTAAATGAAAACATGTTTCGTAGTTCAGTTACATCATATGTATTCTTCCTCTTCTAACTACTATTGTAAATAAATATTTTGAGGTTTGCATAGAAATTTTGACAGTATTGACAATTGTTATTTTAATTTGGATTATAAAATATATTTTCATACAACTGCAAAATGGGATCTCATACTAGAGTTAAAAGTAGGTCACGATCACCGTCTTACAAGAGCAAATCCAAGAAGTATGAGAGAAACCTTAAATCGAGAAGCAGGTCAAGATCCAAATCGAGTTCACCCAGAAGGAGTAAGTCCAGAAGACACAGAGAAAGGAGTAATTCAACTGAGGCTCTGTATAACAACCGAAATAGAAATGATAGGAAATCATTGCATCGAAGTACGTCAAATGGACACCATTACTCTGAAGAATCTAGTCGTGATTATAGAGACAGACGATACAGTCACAGTGAATACAGATCCAGAGATTCGCATAAAAAAGGATCTTATGAGGACGATTTCATGGAGTCTAGAAGGAAGCAAAGAGAAATTTTAGGCATGAGGGAATGTTCAAACATTTGGACAAAGTCGCCAGAAGCTGAAGAGTGAGTTTACTTTAAATTCATAGAAACTCAATTTTTTGTGTACAAGATATCTGTTATGAAAATACTCAGAAATTTAATAAGATAACTGCAGACAAATATATAAGAATAGATGAATTTTGTTTTACAGATCAAATAATGAAGAAGAGTACTTAGAAGAAAGTCACACAGAAAAAAAATTGAAAAAGAAGAAGGATAAAAGTAAAAAAGAGAAAAAGCATAAAAAATCAAAGAAACATAAAAAGGACAAGAAAAAAAAGAAAAAGAAGAAGGTATCCTCTAGTGAGGGTAGCGGATCAGAAGCAGAAGAATGGGTGGAGAAAACAAGTAAGTTTGAATGTAAGGTAATTTATCTTACCCATGAAGAAATGTAAATATTTTGAAAATATATGTAATGTAACTTATTTTTCTTAGGTGAAACTAAGACAGAATCGCAATCTGACAATGAAGATAGTGTGGTCGGTCCGATCCTGAAACCACACACAACTCTAACAAGCAAAGAAATGGGCAAGGCCCTTCTGCCTGGTGAAGGAGCAGCGATGGCGGCTTATGTTGCTGAAGGAAAACGAATCCCAAGGAGAGGAGAGATTGGGTTGACATCTGATCAAATTGCCACATACGAATCTGTCGGCTATGTTATGTCTGGATCGAGACATAGGCGGATGGAGGCTGTACGTATTCGTAAAGAAAATCAGATCTATTCGGCAGATGAAAAACGTGCTCTGGCCATGTTTAGCAAGGAAGAGAGGCAGAAGAGAGAGAACCTTATTTTAGGACAATTTAAGGATATGATCAGTTCAAAGCTAGCAGATAAGAATAAATAAGAAATTATATTGTCTTGGAAAGTTGTCATCATCTTACATTACAAAATGTTACACGAAAAATTAAAATTTTTGATGTATATAATTAAAATTCACTATTTCTATTTGTATATACTATAGGAGGTAATAAATAATGCCATGTATATTGATTGGTCTAGAATTAGGATGGAATTATTATAAAGTTGTATCTTTTTTTGTTTTATATTTATTTAAAGCAAAATTATATAAAAAAAATTTTTATTCTACAATAAAAGAATTAAGTATAGCAGTTTTTGTATTAAAATGGGATATACATGGTGTTTTGGCGAAATACCACACATTCAGGAACAGATGGAACCTAAAAAAGTAAATTTTTTCCTACTCTGTCATATATTAAAATGTAAAATTTGATTTTACATTTTACCTAAAGAAAAAATATTCATGCTGAAATCATTGAAAACTCGCTATCATTCTTTTTTTGAGAAAAACGCAATTAAGGTGTAGCAACTCCAATGATTATTAGAGAATCTATTTTTTTCTTCTAGAATAAGGAGAAAGAAGTTTTATGCCTGAACAAAATTTTTTCTTTGAAATTCCGAAGCGCATCGGACGGCTACAAAATGACTACCTGCGGCACACAGCTGCAGCCTAAACTTTTAGAAAATTTGAAATACAAAATATTTTTGGGGTTATAACGAAAGTATTTTAATTACAAAACAAAATACTATTTTACATTTAAAATACTACTTATTTGGTATTTATTTTGTCAAAATATTTCCAGCTGTGCTAATGACTTACTTTTTGATTCCTAACTCTTCTAATAAGTACAACTATATAGGTACAACTAACATATGTATGTCATTAATACTAATAGATGTAGTTAGAAAGAGTTTGTGTTCAATTAGAAGTATTTTCAAATGAAAGTAATAATGTATATCTTAAAAAATTTGAAAGCTTTTATCTTGACACGATTTTTTAAAACGGCGGACATCATAATTCCAATTTTTCATTCTCTGAAGAGAAGTACCCCTGGTAGCAAAATCTTGCACAAGACTCTTACATATACAAGACTGCTGTGTACCTATTGCTGAAATTTGCATCAGTTTACTGCAAGATTCATTGTGCAATTGTCTTGATCAAAGCTTGCAATGGATTTGATTCAGGTAACTATGTTGCATATACATATACATTGCTCAGTTCTGCAGCAAGTCTGCAACACGTTGACTTATGGACTCAAGTACTTTTGGTTAAGTCTGGTGCAAGTATTAAGTTAGAGTCACCAACAGACATAAAACAATCTGACACAATTTGGCTATTTCAAGTAAACTTGAAACAACTTGTATTAGAATTGCACACGATTGTGCTACCATCGCATAGGATTTTTGGTAAGTTGATTTTAACATTTTCAAAAACTGACCTTTTTACTTCAAATTCTCGCCAATCACACAAAAACTATTTTAAAAATCCTCTACGTATTTCTCCATAACCATGCTCATGCCTGCTCATGTAGATCAAGAGAAATTTTTTTGTTTTTTCGCAGATTCAAATTTACGTCAGTTACGTACTGCGTGTCGCAGAGCCGCTCGAATTCAACATGCCTCACAAGAATGACTCCAGAGTCGCCATTTTGTACTATTTATGAATAAATTTTTTTGTTTGAACATTTTAACGACATGGTTAATAACATCTTGATGAATATCCTTCTCTTACTTTTCCTTCCATTAAAAAAAATCGCCAAAAATGCTTTATCATTTAATTTAACAGTGGTGTTACCCCTCCCCTTATAATTAATATATACCTACATGATGTTCCTAAAACGAATGGGTCACCACTTCAAAAATAACTACGTTAGATGAAAATTAAACCAATTAGATTTTGTTGACAGCACAATTTTGCTATTTTAAACATGTTTTTCCAATTTAAATAATATTAACATAACTTTTCAAAAAGCAAGAATAGGTTTATTTTCATTCAAGGAAGCTAGGTATTCTTCGTATTCCGGACATCCTGTATACCTACAACGGAGTTAAATGCTATTGACTTTGAAATAGTCAACTGCGTTTTCCCAGAAATCGTGCGTTTTCAATTAGGTCGGCTAGATGATGAGTAATTTATTTCTTTATTATATAAAACAAAAAATTCCATTGTAATATATCCATTCTAATAGGTACATCATAAGTAAAATTGAATATAGCGGTTAAAAGATAATAAACTTTAGCAACCCAAAAAATATACTTTTGTACCAGATTCAAAATTTATTAAATTATTTCTGAAAAAGATTATGGTTAAAATTTGATAAAAGAAACTATTTTTAACGCCCTGAAATCAAAAACAGAAGAAAATAAGCCTATATGTTTACGTATAGAAAAAAATTGTCTTATAATTATTTTGATGTTCTATATATCAATCCCTGAATTATGGTACTTTTCTCAAAACACCCTATATTTGCAAATATAGGATTCAAACACATTTTAAATTGCAAAGGACCCCCCAAAATCCTTATGGGAATTGTCTCCCGGTTAAATTGTCTGAATTTTTAGTATGTTATAGTATTCATGGTCCTGATCAAAAGTCCTTATGGGCACAAGCGTCCAAAACCTCTAAATTTCGAGTTATGAGCCTCAGAGAGGTGCTGGGTGGACGTATTTGGACTCTTATGGATTTTGCAAGTTCCACATTCTCTAACGTACTTAACGGTATAGGCTCGCGGTCAACTCGGCTGATTTGACAGTATGTTAAAGTACTCTTCATCATGAATACACATCATCATTCAGGGGTTCCGTAACTCGCAATTGATGGTTGCGGGGGCTTGCGCGGATGAGAGTTCTTGATCAGGATGAAGAGCACTTTAACATACTGTCAAATCAGCCGAGTTGACCGCGAGCCTATCCCGTCAAGTACGTTAGAGAATGTGGAACTTGCAAAATCCATAAAAGTCCAAAAAATCCATCCAGCACCTTTCTGAGGCCCACAATTCGAAATCGGGGGTTTTTGGAGGTTTGCGCCCATGAGAACTTTTGATCGGGATATCGGGATGAAGAGCACTTTAACAACTGTGAAATCAGCCGGGTTGACCGCGAGCCTATACCGTTAAGTACGTTAGAGAATATGGAACTTGCAAAATCCATAAAAGTCCAAAAACGTCCACCCAGCACCTTTCTGAGGCTCATAACTCGAAATTTAGAGGTTTTGGACGCTTGTGTCCAAGGACTTTTGATCAGGACCATGAATACTATAACATACTAAAAATTCAGCCAATTTAACCGGGAGCCAATTCCCATAAGGATTCTGGGGGGTCCGAAGGACCCAAGGAGCAAATACTGAATGAATACTGGTGAATTCAAATTGTTGCCTTAAGCCGGTTCTGATTTCCAGACGAGCAGTTCGCCTTCCGACCCAATCACTCCACTGAACTCCAAATCCTTCGCCTTACCGAGCACATCACGGCGGCCTTCAACAGGGGACAGTACACTGGTGCTGTCTTCCTGGACGTCGCAAAGGCCTTCGATACGGTTTGGCATGAAGGCCTACTGATGAAAATGCTCACCAACCAATATCCCATATCCTTTACCAAACTCATAAAATCCTACCTACACCACCGAAAATTCCGCATCCAAATCCAAGATTCCCTTTCCACCACCCGTCCCATGGAGGCCGGTGTCCCCCAGGGCACCGTCCTGTCCCCACACCTATACACCATTTACAACTCCGACATCCCACATCCCCCCAACACCAACATATACTTATACGCCGACGACCTGACAATCACATCCCAATCCGTAGATCCTAGATATTCCGTCTCCCTCCTCCAAAACTCCTTAGACCAACTTGAAACCTGGTGCAACAGGTGGAAAGTCAAAATTAATCCCAACAAAAGTTCGGCTATCCTTTTTACCAAACGAAAAATCCCACAAAACCTCGACAGACTGACACTATCCCAGGAACCTATCTCCTGGAATCGACAAACACGATACCTGGGCGTGACGATGGACCAGCGTCTCACGTGGAAACCGCACATCGTGGAGACGGTGGCGCGAGCGAAGACCACCAGGGCTAGGCTCTATCCCTTACTCAAAGGTGGAAACACCCTCAGTTTAAGGAATAAGCGAACGCTTATCAAGGTGGTACTTCAACCGCAGCTAACCTACGCCTCCACGGCGTGGGGTCACGCGGCAAAAAGCCACTTAAAGTCATTACAGGCTGTGGAAAACATAGCCCTCCGCACGGCCACCGACGCGCCCTGGTACGTAAGAAACACTGACATATTACGAGACTTACAATACACAAACGCTACACAGACAATAAGACAAAACGCGGAGAAACGATTTGACGTAGCCGCTAGACATGACAATCCCCTCCTCAGGCAAGCCGTTGACTACGTACCCGACGTGACCGACAAACACAAAAGACCTAGACACCAACTTTTTGACCCTGGGTGACCACCCCAATGACCCCCCCCCTGCCCGCTAACCTTTTCTGTTTCAGAGACAGCCAGGATCAAGAAACGAAGACAACGACACACACACACACACACACACACCCCCCATACCCTCCTTAACCCTCCCCTCCCGCGCTAGCCTAAGGGCCACCTTAGCAAAGCGCATCCCAGGCTGCATAGCCGCACTACCCTACCCAACCATACCACACATAAACATGACACTACCCCCGGGGTTTACACAGACGAGCCGGCGAAGCAAGAAGAGCGCCAGAAGAAAGGGCCCTAGCCGGCGGGGCCCAGCCAGGACAAAAGGAGGTCCCACAAAGCGCCTACACCGGCCGCATTTGCGGTCGGGGTAGACGACGGATGGGGCCCACCTACGAAGGCTGTCCAGGCCTACACGAGATGAGGCAGGATAAAGAGGGATAATCCCCCTCGATCCCAAATCATTGAGGCCAATTTCTAGCCATAGAATAATGGCGCGGTTCTGATTTTTCCAATCTGAAATTAGTATTGATTGACTAAGGAGCCAGCAACTAGAGTTATATTCTAACTTCAGTGTGGTCAGTAGAAATTAGTTTTGAGTCTGTTCATGCTTAGTGAAGTTAGCCATATGCGAAGGAGCTAGCACATACTCATTGTCGCCAATAGAAATATATATAAGCATGTTTTATGAAACTAATTAATAAAGTTTATTATTATGTTACAAACAATTATGGCATTTCAAAAATGGTAACCTTAATTTTCTTCTATGTAGTCTGATATTTTTCCACCTGTAAATAAATTGAAAATTAACAGTACGTACAGAGGTACGTCATTTAGTTAACATATTGAAAATCAGTGTTTTATTTTTAAAAATACTAAATGACATTTTGTTTATTTTCTGCCTCCGTACTTGTTATTTTTTTCCAAATAAAGTATCAAACATATTTGAAAAAGAATTCGTAGTTTTTTTTAAAGATTAATTTTCAAATAGCTATCTGAATGAATTATGTGTGGTTTGTAGTTGTATATATGATTATCCTGTTATTGAAAAATAAAATCTTTTTTTATGCCAGAAAGCATATATAAATGAGCATTATCTATTTTATTATTTTTATATTATGTTTTAATTAGGAATTAATGGAATATGTTTAAAGAAATAATTGATAATTTACTCTCACTTGATATTAATTTTTACGAATGTACTAACATTTTAGAATTTTTTTTCCAACAGATTTTACAAAATTAAAATTCAATATATATACCTACAACCCAGTATAAAATGTATAAAGGAACAATCTGCTTATATATGATTTCAATAACGATAAATATAAAATAATATATTGTATATGAATACAAATAAAATTTAGCAACTTTATTTCTAATGCGGAGTATGAATTAAATTAATTTTCTTTGCTGAATATTTTGAGTAGTAATAAGTACAAATAGTACAATTAACAGTTACCCTAAAATAAATCATACCAGGAGCTGAAAACCAGCTCCTGTTTCTCTAAGCTCGGTTAAACCTAGTACACTTAATGATTGCCCAAAAATAGAATACTTCGGGAGCCAGCTATAGAAAACGGCTAACTTCAGATCATTGCCACCGTTGCCAAGTTGTCATTTCGTTTAAATCTTTAAAGCCCCATATTGCTGGAGGGGATAGAAGTTAGAAACGCTTTTAGAGAGTAAGCAATGTACTTGCTCATGAAAATTATTAAATTGAACCATTGGACGGGGAAACATTAAATTATAATAAATTAACCGCTTAGTGAGGAAGTTTCAACGTAGCTAAAGTTAGTGTGACGTTCTTACTTCATATTTTCCATCCAAGGTATAGGAAAATATACAAGGTATAAAGCAAGTGTTATTAACAACTGCACTGTTACTTATGCAGTTATAAAATTTAAATTAATGCGTAGTGCACATGCATTTGATATAAAGTGACATTTGAACCGCATACCCTTATCATGTTATTTACATAAAGTGGCCCCTGTAACTCAAATTTACGACAGTCTGTGTCTACATTATACATTGATTTTATATTTAGTAGTGCACAATAACTATCAGAAAATGCCTTTGGCAAATATCGACGAAATGATTTTTCGACAATCCAGACTGGGGGTGGCCAGGAATTTGTTTGATGTTGAAGTTCCTCATAGAGTAGCCAGCTACGATAGATATATACCCTGCAGGGCGAACAACACTTGGGAGACCAGTTTTGCTACGATCCCAGATCCAAATAAGGGAGTTCAGTCCGGCAAGAAGACGAGGGAAACAGGTGAGAACACAAGGGACAGTTCTGTATATAATATCCTGTTACGGAATGAATTACTGGGAGAGAATATTGAGGATGTCAAGTCGCAGTGTGACGAGAGGCAGGCACTTACCCCTGTGAAGAGTAAAAACCTTTTCAAATATGGAACTCCTACAAAGGTATGTATGTATGAATATATTTCGATTTCGTAGATTGATCGCCACCCCAAACGATATACCTATAGTGACGTTAGCACATTTTTATATAATAAAGGATTTGTGGAAGAGAAAGATTATAAATATACCTGTTGAGGTGGGAATTAATTAATATTCATGTGTTTAGAGGATTTTAGTGGTGGGGTATGTATGCATAAATCCTTAGAATTCCTATCTTTTGATCGAGTCATTTCAATTGAATGAACAGAAAAAATGTATGATCTGATATCGATTAGTAACACATTAAAATAGTTTACTTATTATTAGATATTTTCCTTTATACAAAATTTTATTTTGTTTTGAATAGTAGGTGTATAGAAAATATTTCTTCTTAATTTTTTTTTATAAATTAATACCTAGGTATTAATATGTTGATAAAATATTTTATAAGATTAAAAAATATTTTTTTCTTTATAGGGTTGCTCAAATGTGCTATGTAATAGATACAAAAAAGAATTTAATATTTTAGTAGTAAAAGTTAAATTGGACCTGAATAAACATGAATAATTATAGTTATGTAAATTTTGATCCAATTAAAGGAAAAAAATGTGAAGTTCAACCTAGCTTACAGAATATCGTATTTTATCTTGTTTCCAATGAATGATTATGTTATTTTCTATTCTAAACTGTAGCGAAATTAGTGAAAAACTTAAAACATGTTCATGAACTAAGCATAATGCAACTCATGTTGGCAGCATTCATATGTGATAAAAACATTCCATATCTTGAAGTGGGTACAAATATGTGCTAAACATAATTGACATGAATAAATATAGAAGTACTTATGTACAGAAATAAAATGCATCATAAATTTTTTTATTTGTCTATTGGACTGTTAACAGTAGCTGACATTGGACAGGTGTGGTTTTATTTCAGGTGTTTGTTTCTTTATTTAATTATGTTGGTATTGGTTGGTATTGTATTAATATTTTTTAAAATCATATAGCATGGCTCATTCATAAATATTTTTGCAAAATTTAAAAAAATAAAAAAATGTGTGTTCTTAGATGATATTGAAAAGAAGGAAAACTTTTTTTTATTTTCAGACAAAAATACTATAGATACTTAAGTACATTGAATGAAAAAAAATGCAGTTTGAAGTGAAGCAACATGCTCTCTACTAAAAAACTAACCTCTGTATATATATAACCAAAGTTAATTATTATTGATGTACCAGACAATTAGATTGTAAAGTATCTACATGGGAAAAAATTGATTTTGACAACTAAGGGTTCTGTAATAGGGAGAGTAATAAGGCTTCTATATCTCTCAATAATACACTGCTGGTTGAGAAACACATAAATAGATAATCTTTTTCCAATATTTAATATTACATAAGCATGGTTCTTAACTAATTTTTCAGTGTAGCATTTTTCAGAAAATATCCTGCTTCATTAAAAAGTGATTCGTAACATTTTTTTTTACTTCTGAAAAATTAAGCCTTTATATGGGCAAAAATATTGTTTTCTTTATAGGTAAAAGGATCGAATAAGGATATAAAATTTCAATAGTGTATTATATCTGCCCCTGAATTTTAAATATCAAAAATAACGTTTTAAAAATGCAAAATCACCCTTATACTGACTGTTTCAACATATCAGTTTATTATAAGCTTTTTGAGTAAAAATGCCAAAAATTTTGCGATTTAACAACCAACTACGTACCATTACCTGTATTTATTTGTTTGTTCAAGATTTATCATACAGTTTTATAGTATTTCATGAGATAACATCATTTTTAATAGGTTAATAGAGATAAGAGACGCCATACATTTTAAATTTCAATAATGAAAACAAGATAAGAAATTATGTAACTTTTCTCTATGATTTTATTTCGGTATTATTTATTGAGATGATTTATTCTTTACACACAAAATCTAATGATAAGGAATGTGTAAATAATACATGCAAATTGCATTTTTTATTTTAATTATATTAAAAAAAAAATAAATCTCAAAACTACCTGTAAAAAGAGTTAGATGCAATTATGTAATTTTAAGACGAGTATTTTATGTTCAAGATGAGTTTTAGAAATTACTTGTCAAAATAAGGTCACCAAATTATGCAATCTCAGTAGGTACTTGCCAAAGGGTGCCGCCAACGTAACTGTTACTATTTCTAACCAATTTTATTTCAAAATGGAAGCAATTAGGTGCATAATTACGACTACTTATTAAAATATTACAGTCGTACTTATTTGGGTTATTAGGTTTATAAATAACACATATATGAATATAACACGACTTTATTCGTGATAGCTGGGAAAAAAATAGGCAACACAAACAACAAATGATTACGTTTTTGAACGGATGAAAATCAAATGAGGTTAGGTCTGGGATGTAAGCCAGACACTGTTGTGACTGTTTTGCATGGATAACTATGTAAATAATGCAAAGGTGGTGCCTCACGTGTATTCGAGCAAGACCTTAGGTTGTTAACCGTCTTTTTAATGAATTTTTATTTCTGTTGAAATAATTACATATATAATTGACAAAAAATGATGTCAGGATATCTTCATTATTATTAAAGGTATAAAGGTATAAATGTATATAGTGAATAAGAAAAAGCTTTGAAAAAGCAAAACTTGCAATTTGTTAAATAAGTTTTGATTTACCTATACAGGGTGATTTCACTTTAAATACTGAAACTGCAGAAATAGATTAGTTGCCAAAATATAAGTAGTTTGCTCTATAAACTCTTTTTCTGGGGGACGTAGTATGCAAGATACAGGGTGCTCAAGTTTCCAAAAACAAAAATAATATTTTCTATTATGTTGAACTATGTTCTATTATTATATTGCGCTGAACGATTTGAATGAAATTTACTACAGCGTATTCACTTAATTAGACCTTTTATTGTATGTAATATTAACCTTGTAACATTAACCAGTGGCGTGCTACTGAATGCACCGCTCCGTTTTCTCAAGAAAAAATACGCCACTGGTGTTTTTTTGTTGTTGAAATAATGTTAAATTCAGGTACTGTTACGTTAAATGAATGAAAAGTGTTTCTTGGTGTATTTTAATGGTAGCAGCCCTTTAAGAGATAAATTACTTATTTGCTGACCATAATGCGCAAATTTTATCCACATACTCATATTTGTTCAAAATCCATCTGCAAACATTGATTCTATTGTCTGCATTGTAAGTTAGTCTCGTTTTAGTATTATAACTAGCTTTGTTTATTTATTCCTATTTGCTAATTTGCTAATGCCAATTTTATTTTTTAGTTTGATATTTTTTCCAGAACTAAAATTACTTTTTTACAAAAAAACCGCCAGTGGTTCTTAGAAAAAGTTGGCGGACGCTTTAGTAGCATGTCACAGGTTAAAACCAGGAGGTTTCCATCAAATAAACGGATTAAATTATTAGGAAAATTCAATAAAACGTAAAAACAAGCCCAGATATCTCCTAAACGGCTGTTACTATTAAAAAACAAGACAACATTTTTCGTTCATGTAATATAGCAGTACGTGAATGTAACATTATTTCTACAAAAAACCGCCAGTGGCGTATTCTTTTCTTGGGAAAATAGGGTGGCACCTCCAGTAGCACGCCACTGATTAAAGCCACAAGGTTGATATTATATTCAATCAAAGGTCTAATTAAGTAAATACACTGTAGTTAATTTCATTCAATTCTATCAGCACATTATGAAAAAATGGCAGAAAAGACATAATTTTTTGTAAACTTTGACACCCTGTATCTCGAATACCGAGTCGCGCAGGAAAAATGTTTATAGAGCAAACTCTACTTATTTTTTGGTAATGAATCTAGTCCTGCAGTTTCTGTATTTAAACTGAAATCACCCTCTATATTTGCAAAAATGATAACTAATTTTCTGTTTAGTAGTTTATTTTGTTTTTAGTTAAGACCAACTAAGTACCTTTCTGTAAATTTGGAACAAAACAAACGATTATAAGTTTTTTACTTTTTTAACTAGGCCATGGCCAAATATGGTTTCTATTTAAAAATAATATAACTGATGTATGTCGAAAACCATTAGAATTAATACTCAAAAAATTGTGAGATAATGATGAAATTTCGGGAAAAAGGTGAAATTTTTACTTAACAAAAAATGAAAATCTAGAATATAGAAGGTATTTAACAACGTGATATTAAAAAAGAAACAAAGGCATAATAAGGAATGTACGTGACAGCTACTATTTTTTTTAAAGGCGGTATACATATGTATTTGAATATAAAAACTAATTATTTGAAACTAAAAACTATGGTTGTGATTGTCATTTGTCGTGTCTTGGCTAAGTTGATTATTATCCCTCAGCAATAATTTTATTTACATAACTGAAAAAGTGTCTCCACTGAAACCTGGCTACCAGTTTTTAACGTCGCGTATGATATTCTTGCAGTCTTGCAGAAATGGACACGTTAATAGATGTAAATGATTTAAAGAAAGTTATGCAGACAGTAAGCTATGTTTTATTTACCGAAGACATCAATGCTGTATTTTGCTAATTGGTGATAATTATAGAAAACAGTGCATTAAGAAAATATAGTAAATGGTATTTTCCCTAAATAACTACCAACTACCGATTACAGTCAGACGTATCACTAGTCGTTAAGCAGTTAGCTTTCAGGTAGTAAAAATAGCTATGGTCGATAATCATGAGTTTGAAATGTAAATATTGCCGTATAAATATTGTAAATACTCATCAGTTTGTAATGGGGTCAGTTGCATAATTTGAAGATAACTTCTCTGTAAACAGTCTCTATAGTATCATTAAAATCATTTATAATCTACATGTCTATATTTATAGTTTAAATTTGAAAAATGATCAATTGTCTGTGTGTATAGGCGAGCGGTTCACCCCTAAAAGATAAACTTCTAAATGAAGGTAAAGGACTAAATTTTTAAAACAAAAACCTACAGCATGAAACTTTATTTTATAAAGTGTATCTTTCTGATAATTTACATATTTTTTAAATATTTTTCGGTGTGGTCAGTC